ATAAGTTATCAGCAAACAGCAATCCTGCGCATCTATACAATATGGCTGCTAAAAACATCGAGTGTTATTCGAAATGTCTGGAAGTTTGCAAAAAGTTTCACCGTGCGGAGTTAAAAAAGCTTTAGATAAACGGATGTTTTGTACTTATGTTACTACTATACTAGTTTCATATATTTTCACTTACTATGAAGGGCTTCTTCGGCTGGACTACTGAAATTTTGACTGGAATGACACTTTTTATAATTGACATCCGCCGCTTTCAGAGCTCTCTTTAGCATGCGTTCAACCTAGAGTCATGAACAAGTAAAACTGAAAAACACTTTGGTCAGTAGGTACCTCTGTAACTGATGAACACTCCTCTTCTGCTAGCAGAATCATCGCAACGGCACAGCTTTAAAAACAACGTTTCATAAAATCATAAGAACAGTTTCATTAATATTGTGCGTCGAAAAAGGAACACCGTTTCAGATTCCGAAAGCTCCGCCAATTAAAGGAAGAACTATTCCAAGATTTAACCGTTTCTATTTTGATATAGCATTAAGAATATCTTGAATACTGAAAAACTGAATGATTACAAAAAACACGCAAGAGAGCGAGCTACCTGCAAAAGCACAGACATCGAGTCTGGTGCCGAATTATCAGGATAAAACTGAGAGAAATGCTATCTACGAACAACAACCTTCCAGTATTCTCATTCGCACTAACTTAACTGTAATAACTGAGGGAATCTGTCTTTGAATTTGCCTCAGGGAGCCCTCGTCAACGTAAAAACTAAAGCGCTGAAAAAATGCCTGAATATATGTAATAAAGTCATCTACAATTTAAAATCACAGTGAAAGCAAAACTCATTTCAAACTCATCCTACTGACAAAATTGAAACTACTAATTAACGAATTCAGTTAAAAATTAATTAGCGTTAACAGGCATTTGATTAACAATTACATTGCTCAAAAATGAAAAGAGTGTAGGAAGACTAAGTCGAAACAATAGGATGATGTGACGAGACTTGACGGAGGGTCACTCTGGGTCTGAAGCATAATAACAAGCATAACGTGTTAACAAGATAGAAAAATGTTCTGTGCATGCCGTTAAGCGATCATGGACAACAGCACATATGAGCATCATGTAGAGGACAGCGGGGTACAATCAGAACAGAAATTACCGTATTCTTGAACAAGCCAACCTCAGAATAGTTTTGAGTCAAACAGCAGGTCTGATTCAACTATTTAATAAAAGCTAGTGAACTTTTCTAGTTTGTACGCTGCAAATACGGGAACAAAAATAAGGGCAACAAAGAGTTAGTAGTTAACACACCAACTGGCTAAGGAAACTAAATGGGAATCAGTCGTCGATGAAGAACTTTTCTTTCAACACCATTAGCACTTCTTATATCAAAAATACGAAACTGCGATTATAGAATGTCTGAAAGAACGCTAGCGAAGGTTGCACGGCGAACCATTATAGCGCATCAGAAGAATATGGGCCAAAGATCCAGTTGGCTAAACAAAACAGTGCAACGAGGGATATGCAACTATATTTTACTGCAGATACTGGTTGAAAATACAAAAACAAAATTTTTTCATGCATACAACTATATGCTTGGCGCGTTCACAGATATGGCTATTGCGATTGATAAATGCAATGTTCCCTTAAATAATATCAATACACAAACTGCAAGTTTAGAACACCTAATTTCCAAGATCTTGACCATCTAAATGTCGCACGCAAAAAATCTAATTTTCTTTCCATTACCTGATATGTACTCAGGCAGATTCAGTCGTCTTTTCAGGCGTGAGTTGACTTTAGACTGATGGGTCGGGTATTCGTCCTGTGTCAGTGAAATATGTTTCGAAACTTTAGCAAAACAAGTAGCTGCTTCCGAGATAAAGCACACACTGCAACTCGCTGGAAAGATTCTAGATGATGCCAGTCCGACTGCCTCGCCATTCAGATGCCTCGTGCTACGTACTGACACACGATCAAAATATTGATGCATACCCGCCAGCACAGAAATTCAGAAAAAAATTCGTTGTTCTATTCATCGCATTTAAATAATCGTATTCGAAGAGTAGTATTAATAAGTATTCCGAACACTTCACCAAACTATGCTGAAACGCTGAGCCCTGTATAGCTGTCTTAAGCAGTAAGTTCAATTCAATATAATTTAAGAAGCAATGCACAGATCTTCCGTCTGTATCATACTTGAGTCAGTGTCTGTTTAAAATGAAGACGATAGGAAACATGGATTTCAGCATGCTTTCTAATGGAAGTTATATGAACTGCATCATATACTGAATCATTTCCACTAGGTTTCTAATTAGCTGTCGTTCACAAACTGAATCAAACTGAATAAGGAGCTTCATGAACCTTGTTTAACAGCGCCTTGTTGACTAACTTCTTCAGGGCTGATGAAAAATTTTAGTTATTGGATTTGTTCAAGCACCTTACGTTATTACACTGTCCTGTAATGGTCCGGAGAGGCCGCCTATGAAACTACGGAGAGTTCCCACGAAGTGTACGCGCTTATATACCTCCGAATATGAGTGAGAAGCCGGCCAGAAACGATTCGACGATTTTTGACTGCAAGTCTGACGCTCTACTGCTTGAATTATCTTGACCCAGCTGCCAGTCGGCCGGCCGTCACAGCAACAGACCGTCGCCCCTCTGCACAAACACCATGCCGACATGTCACTTACTTCGGATTTATCTCTAAAGCTTTGTGTGCAGCGTGTACTCGTAGGTTCGGATCTCTCTCACGCCAAGCGACCATCATAACTGATATGAACAGCAAGTAAAACCAGTGGTTACTAAGTTATACGTAACATACTTTCGTATTCCGGCTTGCCAGTATCAGCTTCGCAAGTGAACAGGTTCTGGTGATCCTGGGCCGAGAGGTTCATATCATAATAAGTGAGCGGTTCTTTACCAGTGGCATTGCTGAAACGCTGGTACTCAGCGCCGCGAAAGAAGTTCATCGGATTTCGCCACACTTTACATTCTAAAACAGGCTTAAATTTGTCGGAACATCAGTACCGACAGAACTCGAACTTCAACTTATCTTAATGTTTAACGTGCTGTGATCTGCTAAAAATATGGAAATCGTTGAAAGCGGCTATAAGACAGCTGCTGTAACACCCTCCTGTCTGGATGGTAGTTGACTCAGTTATTAGGTGCCGTAAAGGGTCACGATATCCCGCACCAGGGAGGTTGGATATTTGACTCTGATAGCTTCTACATGGTACCTGCTAGATTCACATTGTGATATAAAATATCCAAACGTCATATCAATGATCAAATATCAGCAAACATCCACGGTAGTCTCTGCAGTTTGAGACGGTCCACCAGAAAGAAACTTCTAACTTCGTGAAAGCTGTGCAGATCATTCGAGCCGGCTGCAAAACCAAAAGATTTTTTGATCCCCCCTACAACCATATCAGTCATATCACTGTAGGCAGTTTTGATCGTCATGGTCAAAAAATTCCTATTCTGGAAGTACCAGTAAACAGATAAATGTGTTTCAGAAAATGAAGCGCGGGACGAAGTAATATATATACACAAAATATATATAATCCTTTGGTAAGTCACAAACGGGAAGACCACGTATAACATGTTCTTTAATTAGAGACATCTGACGTTTCGGACCAAACTCAGTCCGTCCTCAGAGTACATTAACAAGGGCACGTAATATTTCTCCTTATATTACTGGTGCCGTGCTTGTTTACTGGTTT